GGAATTATAGGCAAGATGTGAGCAGATTTGTAATGATTTAAGCAGAATCCTCTATTGAAGAATTGCAACTAGGAAGGCTTCTTAGGAGTACATTGTTCTGTTGGCTAGTCAGCGTGGCTTTAAACAAAAACAACCCCCGTTCCTCCCCGGTATTTCAAAATCCTCTTCCAAGTGCCGATGCTTGTAGAATCACGTCCAGGTGATTGACAAGCCATCCGCGGGCTGTCTTTCCAGATTCTTCGTCCATTTCCCCTACCTCACTTCTAGCTTGCAGAGTCCTCCATTGATCCCTTTTCTACTGCCTGTCAGCCCTTGAGAAGATACTGCCTCTGCCTGCAACCTTTTCTTACTTCCTTGGTACCTAAAATTCTTAAAGGGCCCAGTTTAGACACACCTGAAACTTAAGAAGAAGTCTTTGATACCCTTTAATTCTGAATAGGATTTCTCTCGTAGGTACTCATACCAATCTGCATGATACCTAATAACTTAGTTCATAGTATAATTTTAATACTTTTATCTCCTAGACTATATATTTATTAAAGATGAAGACTTTTACACATGATTGCTTTTTGAAGTCTAACACAGTAATTGGCACCATAATAGCTCCCAGTAATACATGTATTGATTATATAAAGTTCCCTCAATGTGTGGGCAGCCTGTACACTTGACTATTCATACCAAAAAAAGTTTTTTTCCATGAAGTTGAAGAAAGCTCACAGTAACCCTAGAGGACAGAGTAGAACAGTCCCATAAGTTTCCAAGGCTGCAAATCTGTACAGACCTGACTGCCTCATCTCTCTTACTAAGAGCTAGTGGTGGGTTCAGATACTGACCCTCTGGTGAGCAACAAGTGCTTTAACCATTCTGCCACTGTTGGGACACACCCAACCAACTCTAAGAGAGGGACCCTAGCTCTTGCCAACTAAGAATAGTCAGAAAAGGGGATTCTTCACAGAGACAAAAACGTTTATTCAGGAGAGGGTCTGCCGACAGAAATAGGGAAGACCTAGCCCATGTTCAACTCCCTGCCCCCAAATAAAAGTATTGTTAGAGGTTGTTGTTTTTTAGCATTTTCAGCAGAAAGGGACTGATGTTCATCCGTTATGTAGGTGGAGATTCCCAGGAAATAGCCCATTTAGTCGGGGCACATGCAACAGTCCCCTGAAGATGGCTTCCTTCACAGGGCCTTCTGGTGAAGACACTGTTTGCCGCAGTGTCATGCTGCTTGCCTGGGTTGAGTGGTTTACTGGTGGGGGTCATGGGCTATTGAATCTGTAAAGGCGGAACTGAGGAACAGGGAGGAAGACGGACATAACTGACAGGACAAGGTGTTACGGAAGAAATGCCCAACAAGAACCACTGACCACAAATCTGTAAAAGCTAAGAGTAAGTTTATTTAACAGGTAAAAGAGAAAGACAGAAACAGACAAGTTCGAACTCGGACTACAGCCTGACCACGCAGG